AAAAAAATATTAAGTAAAAATAAAATCAATGCTCAATAGATTTTAATAATAATGCTAAGTTAGAAAATGCAAATGCAAAATAAATAAATTTATTTTGTTATGGGAATAATGCACAGTTAATAAATCTAATTTGCATTGTTATTTGCCCAATCGTTACGTTTATTATTACTCTAGTCACCCGAAAAATTAAGAACTGAATGCAATAAGTTTGGTCGACCGGGCGATTTTATTATCCAACGAATGTTCTTCATAAAACAAAATAACAATACAATTAACCTACAGAAAGACACGGATAATTTGACCGGGGCATATGATATAATAACAGAACATTTAACGTGTCGATCGTGATCAGTGTGCCTTTGTCACTCGTTGTGACTCGTTGTATGTATACCATTCTTTCTTCGTTAATTTAAAATGTCGATTCCACCGCTTTACAAATCGTTCGAAGATAACCAAGAAACAAACTGCATATTCTGTAAGTCGTCGACAAATGACGTTGTTTTGTATAGCAATAAATACACTAAGAATGGAATCACCATACATAACTTTTGTTTGGTAAGTTTTTTAACCATTCATTTTGATTTTATGATAATTTTTCCCATTTTTCACATTTGTTTACATTTGTATCAGTTGTTCGCATCGGGATTGCAGCAAAAGAATGAAGCTAATGTTGAAATTCTAGGATATTTGGAGGAGGACGTCAAACGTGAATTGAAGCAAGCTTCAAAATTGGTATGTTTTCTAATTATTTTTAAATGCGTTTCAAGTTTTTCGATTGTTTGAAATCATTCAATCCGTTTACTCAATCAAAAATAACTATTTGCAGACTTGCTTCTACTGTAAATTGCGTGGTGCAAGTATTGGATGCTGTAGACGTTCGTGCCGCAAATCATTTCACTACACATGCGGCTTGGAAAATAGTTGCCTGTCGCAATTCTGTGGGAAGTTCGACTCGTTTTGCCACTTGCATCATGATATTGAACGATCTACAATTCATGCCGATAACGAATTGTGTCGTTTATGTGAACAGTCAATGGGAAAATTTCACTCAGTGACATCAATCGAGCTTCCGTGTTGCAATAGCAGATGGTATCATAGTCAATGCTTGAGGGATTTGGTGAACAAACAAAATATTCCCAGGTGTCAAGCTTGTGGAGATGAAGATGCATTCAGACAATCTATGCTTTTGAATGGAATTTACATTTCGGAAAGGTGAGTTTGAGTTTTGAAACTTGTGCATATTTTTACATCATATTTCGTCAATTATTCTCATGTTTGTTTCCATTTGCAGATGTTCAGAAGACGAGATTGAACAAATCGCCAGTATGACGCCCAGTACGTCCAGTCATGAATCATCTCCAGCATCAACTAGTATTATTGACAACTTCGCAAGTGAAATTAACGATGAAGCATCGTCAGGATGCTCCCCTTCAAACAACGTCGATGAGCAAAAGGGGGATGTAGCACCCGAATTAGCACGAAAGAAACGA